CACCTCTTTTTCAATGAGGTGTATTTGTGGTCTTGTAATTTTGCATCTACAAGATCTATTCATGACATGCTCTCTCATAAAAATGTTGATTCCATCCCCACTGGGATTCATCTAGAAAAAAGCCGATATGATTGTTATTTAATATTCTGTTCCTTTTGCTGTGAAGACTGGCAGAAGAGCTATTCGTAATGCTTTAATTCAATGCATTTCATGAAGGATGGATTTACCACTGGCTAGAAAAAGTAGATTTCTGCATATGTGAGAATCCCTTCCCCAGCACTTCATAGGACATGGAAAGAGAAATTTTTTAGATTTTTTTTTTTAATTAATTTTCTGAATCCCAGAAAACAGTCAGAGATCATCCCATTTTGCCCTTTACCCATCATCCCCAGTAAGACAAAAGTGGTCCTTGTTAGGAAATCTCCATTTTCTTTGCATCCAAATGCTCCTAAGGAATTTTGAGGCTGACCAGTAGCAGCAATTTGGCTTGCTGGCAAGGGTTATTCAGTAATGGCCAAATCACTAAGGCAACTGTATAATTTCAGTTCTTGTATAAAAATATTCCTGCTTCAACACACAATGAAATTATTGCAAGTACAGAAAAGACTAACTCTTCAAATTTTCCTACTTGACTTTATATGGAAAATATTTCAATAGTAGTTTGTTAATGTATTTTCTCCGATAGTCAAAATATGGATATTTAACCATATAATTACATTTCATCTCAGTGGAGAGATTATGTGTACAATTTCTACACTGATTTTAAGAGTATGTAACACTTTTTGCAATCTCTCTCTTTGATATCTCTTTCCCAGCACTTAACTTGGAGCACATAGCATGTCTACGGCATACATCTAGGCCATAGTTAATCTAAACATATTAACTTTGAGAATGAACTAATGGGAAAGGAATCACACTTTGAATCCACCCAATCAATGGCCTGTTAGAGAGCACAGAGATGAAGTGGGCCTCCTTCCCCATTTTGTTGGTTTGGAGGTGGAGGTCGGGGACTATTCCTCAGCCTCCGGGAAGCCTCGGGCCCCCTTCAAGGAGAGCCAGGACAGATGGGCAGTGTGTTTGACAAGGAACCCCTGCATCCTTGCTTCAGCGCCCTTCTACTCTACTTGAAAAGCAGTTCTGTATTTTTTAAGTGTTGGAACTGGCAGCCCTGCCGGTCACTAGCTGCCCCGAACAATCCTCCATTGAAATCAAGCGGCCCAAACCCAGAGTCAGTGGGAAGCTGTGACGGAGCACACAGAGGGAGGCCTCTCTGCCCTCCACCACGCAGAGGGTGAGGGTTATGTCGGGCGCCCTGAAGGTTCCAGAGGGGAGCATACGGCAGAGTTCTTATACAGCATTTATTATGCCAGCTTCACAAGAAGGATTTACGAACTGGAAAAAAAAAAGCTTACCCTAACTGGCTTCCTTTTACTGGTGCCACCAGGGTCTGAGCCTCCCCAAATCGCCTCCAAGCAGGAGGTCTCAGTCTCTCTCCTTCACTCTAAGGCCTCTTCAACCACAATTTCGTAGTACTAACATTTCTAAGTAAACATTAGAATATAAATGTCCCTTTTAGAGGAGTCAGTGCAGGGTGGGAGAGAGGGCGCAAGGGAGGGTTTGAAAGGGGCAGCAGGGCAAGGAAAGAAGGAAGAGGATAAAGGGGAGGAAGAGAGGATAGCAGGTAGAATCTGCCAATGAGTTTAAGTCGTTTTGACAAGCGCCGTCTGCTTAGTTTCCTAGGAGCTCACTGATGATCTGCCCTGATGCAAATGTGGGCTAACACCAGGCCCACACACGCACACCTGCCCTGCTCTCCTTCCTGCCCCCAATTCTTTCTCTATGCAAACCACACAGCTTAGCTTGGATCCTGTACTAGTTTCCTAGGGCTACTGTAATAAGGTACCAGACATTGAGTGGCTTCAAACAACAGACATTTATTGTCGCACAATTTTGGAGGCTAGAAGCCAGGAACCAGGGCGTTGGCAAGGTCAGGCGCTCTGGCAGAATCAGCTCGAGGGCAGGATCTTACTTTCCTTCCTCTAACTGCTGGCACTCACCAGCAATCACTGGCATTCCTGGGCTTGTAGGTGCACCAGTCCAGCCAGCCACACGACTGTCTTTCCCTGTATGTGTTCACATCCTCTTCCCTCTGTGTGTGTCTGTCCCTGTATCCAAGTCTCCCTTTTTTATAAGTTCCTCTTCTGTTCCTCCACAAACACATCTCAACCACTTGCTGTGGGCTTGACTGTGCAAGATGCTGGGGCTTCTCAGCCTACAACACCCCAACATCTCATCAGGAGCTGAAATAAAGTGTGGATAGTCATATTGGATTAGGGCTGGCCCTAATGACCTCATTTTATCTTGATTACCTCTCTAGTGGCCCTGTTTTTTAAAAAATGTTGTATTCCAAGGTACCAGGAGTTCAGGCTTCAACTTATCTTTCTTAGGTGACACAATTCAACCCAAAACATTTCTCTATTCATGAAGCACCTTCCAGAGCACTGTCCTTACCTCCTCAAAGTTTAGCCCCTGCAGTGGGTGAGGGAAGAACTTCTCACAGGAGATGGGACTCTAGAGCAGGGCAGTGGAATAACTAGGGCACTGGTCTCTCTAGTACCTTCAAGTGTAGAAATAAGGGCATCAGGGAGAAATGGCGCCTCCTCCTGAGGACTCGCTGGGCACCAGGCCTGTGCTGGGCACTTTCATGATCATCTTGTATCCAAAATGCTAGATCACCCAATTCCTTTTTACTTTGCTTGTTCCTCAAACCCCTCCTAAGGATTTTTGTCCATGGGAGACTATGGATATTCTGTAGAAAATAACATTACCCAGACCAATTTCCTAATTTTATAGATGAAGAAACTGAAAATTCAGAGAGGCCAAGTAATCTCTCCTAAAATGCACAACTAGTTAGTGTGCAAAGCTAGGGCTACAATCCAATATTTTACTGACTCTCACCCAGCAGTGTTTGTTTCAATGTTGCTTTCTTATTTGACTTCACAATATTTGCAGACAGGAAATAAATTCAACTTTATGTAATGCCTAGTCTCCCCGGGAGATGAAATCCCAAGCAGATCAGATAAGAGGGCTGGCAGACCCTGCCTGGAACTCTCTCTGGGGTCATGCCACTTCCTAGTTATTTGTCCCCAGGACAGAGTGCATGTCACTAGAGAATAATGTGTATGTCTTGCACCAAAATGTTCAGGCATTGCCAGGCTCTATGTAAAAGATGCAGAGAAACAGATATGGCTCCTACCTTTTAAGGAGTTCATAGTCTTGTAGAACATTTGGAGATGTAAGAAATTAATCCCACTCTAATGGAATAAGCATCACAATGGAGATTTTAAGCAAATCCAGGAGGGAGCTTGATGCTGGCCCACCTGAATGCATCCCAAGGATGAGTTTACCAGGCATGATGAGGGGAGCAGGCGGGTCCAGGAAAGCCTGTGCCATGGCTTCCAGGGCTCTGGAGACCAGCGAAGGCTCTGGAGACCAGAGAAGGTCTGTGATAGCTTACTGGGTAGGCTCGTTGGAGCAAACAAGTCGTAAGTATCAAGAAAGGAGAGAGGGAGTGTGGAGCCAGTTTCTTAAGATTCTCGTGTGCTGTACCAGGCTTTGCCTATGGGTTAGAAAGGCCCAAAGTTTGTTTTAAAGCAAGGGAATGACAGGAATCTAATTTCTCTTTTATGAGACAGAGGGAGGGTGTGCCTGGGACCAAGGAACCCTTGGACACTCCAAGCTAACCTCTCACCAGCCCCTGACACCAGCCCAGGGCCCACCAGCTGAAGTAGCTGACATTGGGTGACACACCCACCCCCCAGCTGGGTTCCAGATCACACCCCAGGGCTTCTCAGGAAAGCAGGAGCCCTTCGTGAGTGTGAAATACACAGTTTACCTGTGGGAAAATCCAGCTCCAGTACCACAGAGAAAAGCCCCTGACAAGTTGTTGGGAAAGAGACAGCAGGAGGGAGTCCCTGACATTTCAGAAATCCCTTCTCCCTTCTCTTTGTCTTCCTGAGCCCGTGTCATTAATTCCCAGGCCGTCTCCATAGCAGTGTCCAAAGAGCACCTTGGTATGTGTGTGGGAGTGTTATCTGGCAGAGCTGTTTAGAGCCATAGGTATGTGTTGAAGTTGACACCCGAGTAAACTTTGAGTGGTAGATGAAGCTGCTTTCCCCAAAGGTTACAAGTAATAAGATCGGCTTTGTGCCTTTGTGGTCTAACTTTTCACAGGCTATTATGAAGATTAAGAGGAAGGGGGTTTATCCATATAATTTGCATGCTAATGTTTGGTCTAAAAATATTCACTGAGAAAGGAAAAAACACCCTTTAAAATATGCTTCAGGGGAACAACATTTCAATTCTTATGATCCAAGTGCCTAGCAGTAAGGAAAAAGACATCAACTCATTTTGAAATAATTTTATTTATTACAAGCTTTCAGATATCAATCGTTGTATTTAGAGTTTCAATGAAACATCATATTTACGTGCTTATTTAGCTCAGAATAGTTTAAGGAAGCTCAAGAAGAGATCCTCTCAAACTTTCCTCTTCTGTTCCTCCACAAACACATCTCAACCACTTGCTGTGGGCTTGACTGTGCTAGATGCTGGGGCTTCTCAGCCTACAGCACCCCAACATCTCATCAGGAGCTGAAATAAAGTGTGGATGTGCTGATTGCCAATCCTTTTCATAATTAAAGAAAAGGAAACCATATTGTCATGATCAAATTCATAAGGAACTTTCTGATGTATGTCAATAAGGATATGAGATTTTTCTCCCAAAGGGGAAAACAAAATTCATCTTGAGGAAAATACTATGGGCAACCAGTTATTTGCTTTCTCTCCCCTGAAATATGTCTGAGAGGGTGAACCTCTTGGGCGTTTCTACAGGGTGGCTTGAAAGGAACTGCTGTTACCTGCTGAATCATCCTCCCCACATCCTGGCCCGCCTGCCTGCTCCCTGGGCGGTGTCTGCCCTTTCAGTAGTGGCCACACTTGCTCAGAGAAGGATGAGATCACTATCTGTGTGCGTTTCAGGGACAGCCGGAGAATGGCCTCCTGATGAACAGGGTCCACCCTAAGGAGGTAGGAAGACTACCCTTTCCTGTGTACTTAACCTGGCCCTTGGGGCAAATAATGAATATAACTTGGAGGTTCTTCACAGCTTTCTTCACAATTTCCATTCCCTTCATGTCTAGCAAAAAGAGAACTTTTCACATCTCTCTATAAAACTATGGGAGAGGGGGTGAGGTTTAACATCAAGATTTGACAACGGCAATTAAAAATACAGTGACAGTGAAAACTAATGGGAAATAAGGTAAGGAAATCTGGATCCTGGGCTTAGTTTTCACCTTCCTGTGAGACCTGAGAAAAATCAGTTGACCTCTGTGAAATGTCCTTCATGGGACACATGTGGTTGATGGATGTAATGAGAAAGAAGAGTGATAGAAACTTTTCTTTATAGCAAATACAGAGATTGACTGGAGAAAGGCACAGGTTGAGGGGAGAAGGGAATCAAGTTGTAGACCAGTGGATAGAAGATGAGTATGGACAGTGAAAGGAACTGTCAGCACAAAACCAAAGGTGGGACACCTGACGTGGTTTTGCCTCAGCTTTGTCCAGAACCAGAAGAGGCAACGTTCTTCTGTGGGTCAAAGCATGAGAAGTAAACAAAGCGTGTTTGGACAGAAAAGAACTTTATAAAAAAAGACCCACCAGGATGACATAATGGCATCTTTTTTGCAGCCTTACTGATGATGCTTACGGAGATAAGTTGGCTCTTCCATACTGGCAGATTTGTTTGTTGAGAACACATGCTAGTTGAAGGCCCACACTAACCCAGAGGGCCCCCTTAACTAAAGGTATGTTAGTTATGTTGTGTTTTCATCCCAAGAAACCCTGAGAAGTACATAGTTTATTTTTCTTCTGCCCTATTTCAGAGCAGTGTGCACTGCTGTCCTCACCTGGGGTTCTGAGTGGTGTGCACAGGTCAAATACAGCAGTGACAGATGTTCAAATCCATAAACATTGATTAGATACCTTTTAGATTTTAGGCATCACTTGGAGATACCAAGAAAAATAAGATGTGGGCCTTGCCCTCAGAAAGAGGCAAATGTGTAAACAAATACATTATAATAGAGCATCTCAAATGCCATGACACACTATGGTCCAGGCAGGAAGGAGGAGGAAGTGATTAACTTCTTCTGGGAAGGCTTCACAAGGGTAACAAAAGATGGGGGAGGGGAGATTGTATCATACAGACTTCCAAATTATTTATAGAATTGTTCTTTTTAAAATATAAGGAGGCAAGGGTTTCATGAACAAATAATTTAAATAGGCCCCTTACTATAAGATTTACTTTTACTATTAGAGGTGATTTTAGGCAACTTTCTTAATCTCTCAATACCTCTATTGGCTTATCTATAGACTGATGATAGTAAAACATACCTTCTATCAGTGTTATGATAATTATAAACTATATATATGGCTATAGATAAAGATATACATACATGAACACTTCTAAAATGTTAGAGCCTCTGCCTATGCACCAGAAAATACCCAATAACATAATAATTAGGGTTCATGTGTGATAAAAAAAAAAAAAAAAGAAGCACAAGAGCAAAAGATGACCAAGGTTTTCCTAGCAGTGAAGTGGTATCTGGAGTTCTCTCCTTTCCCAGGAAAAGAGGAAATTAGGAGAGAGAAAACAATATCTTTGTGGCACATGTCAATCAGAGAAGACATGTTAATAAATGTGCATTGAATAAATCCCATATAGTCTTCAAGATCAAAGTTAAAGATGAAATCAGTAAGTGCCTCCATTTGTATCTCAGGGTCGGTTGGTGACTGGAGATAAACAAATGACACTTTGCAGGGTTTCATATGCTGGGTATGATGAAAGCTTTAGGAGTGCGACAATTTATTTTTCTATTGTGTAAGACCCTGAATGGAAAAATAACTGTTGACTGTACTTTGTAGAAATGCTCTTGAGTAAACTAAGGATAAAACTCCACCAAATCTTTAGAAATGAAACATTGCTTGTTCTAATAGGATGGCAAGGGTCTGCTATAAAGCAGATATTTTAATATTAATAGGTTCCATTTATTAAAAGCCTAACAGTTAAGAGCATTGGTTTTGGGGTCCAATACATCCAAGATTTCAACTCCTTTCACCCTTTCACCCTTGTGGTATGATTTTGGACAATTTAATCTCTCTGCCTGTGCCCTCATCTATAAAATAGAAGAAATAATAAAACCAACTTCACAAAAGATTACATGCATACTTAATAAGCTCACACATGTAAAGCACTTAGCATAGTCCTAAGCACCCACAAAGTCTCCAAAAGCTGTTCTTATCCTTTACTAGTTATTTTTTGTGAGAGCAGAGAGGAGAAAAAGAGTTGATCCTTCTTGGAAGGATAAAGAGTCAGACATGAGTTCACAGAAGAAAAATATACGTGGTGCCATGGGGATGACTATAATTTTTTTTAAAAAAGAATGTGGAGAAACTGGAACTCTCATGCATTTCTGGTGGTAATGTAAAATGGTGTGGCCTCTTTGAAAAACAGTTTGGCAGTTCCTCAGAAAGTTAAACAGAGGTACTCTAAGACCAAGCAATTCCATTCCTAGGTCTATACCCAAGATAAATGAAAACATGTATCCACAATAAAACTACTACATGCTACTAGCAGTGTAATTCATAGTAGCCAAAAAGTAGAAATAGTCCAAATGTCCATTAAATGATGAAAGTATAAACAAAATGGATATATCTGTACAATAGAAAATTATTCAGCTGAAGAGGAATAAAGAATTGATGTATGTTGCAACATGGGTGAACCCTGAAAAAATTACACCAAGTGAAACAAAATGTCATAAAAGGCTACATATGGTATGATCCCATTGATACAAAATGTCCAGAATAGGGAAATCCACAGAAAGAAAGCAGGGGCTGTCAGGGGCAAAGGGTAGGGAGGTAGGTAGTGACTGCTAATTGGTATAGGGTTTCTTCTTTGGGTGACAGGAGTATTTTGTAATTAGGTGCTGGTGACAGTTGCTCAACATTGTAGATGTACTAGAAACCACTGAATTTTACACATTAAATGGTGAGCATTATATTATATGAATTATTTCTTAAATAAAATATTTAAGGTGGGCTTTCAAAGACAAGCAGGGATGGACCAGGCAAAGCTAAGTGAACAGGGGCACCCAAACTGAAGGAACACCTGGGGTCAGAAAGCACTGTCGGCTAAGGTTTGTTAAAAAGAATGGTCAGAATCTGGTGGGGCTAGAGCCCTGTGGCTATGCTACTTAAAGTGTGGTCCCTGGACTGTGAATTGTTTGTTACCTTCTATGACAACATAAGGAAAGAAACTGAGAATAAGCTCTAGAAATGTTAGCAACCTGACACTGCACAGTCAGTGGCCTCCTATGTTGGGACAGGATATAGACCAGACATGGTCAAGCCGGTGTGGTGAATGGCATGTCACCCAAGTTGCCCTCTAGTCCTGCACAGTATGACCACATATCCAACCTTGACAGATGGGAAATTAAAACAGCTGGTTCTTTACTTTGTATAGTTTGAGAAGTACTGTCATCTGGGATACATTTTAAGGAACAACAGGTTGGACAAATAGGTTTGGAACAGAGTGTAAAGAGTCTTATTAGTAAAATAGATGGGGATCACTTTTGTCCAGAATTCTTTAACTAGGTTGTGCCTCATCATGCACCATAATTTTGATGTTGTGGCACTTCTAAGCATGGATTATCTCTTAGAAAAAGAAAGCAGTATTCAGGCAATTACAGGGGAAAGAAAATCTTTACATACGCAACAAAACAAACCCCCCTGGGAAAACAGTAAGGGCCTATACAGTCCATCCTGGAGTCAGAAAAAAGTCGATAGGATAATCAAAAGTGTCCAGGGAGGTGCACAGCACACTAAGCAACATTCAAAGCTTTGTTTATATTTATTGGTTAAGAAAAAACAGAATAAGTCAACCCAGGAAGAGAAACTGAGTTGAGACCTGGGTTGATGCTACAGAGACATAAGAGGCAGGCACAGGAGCAGCGGGAATCTCACAGCTCACGCCCTCCCACAAAGGGAAAGAGCAAAGCCAGCCAGCTCCACGTGTGGGAAAACACTCCGCCTCCCAGAAGAAGAAACCTATATGGTTTCCAGACACTGCTATTCCTGCATCGGGGGGATGAAGAAAGGAAAGGAAACCAAGGTATTGACAGGAAAAGCAGCTTCTACTTCTCAAATGTCTTGGATGTCACTATGAAGCAACCACAAGACTTCCCCTGTTGTCACATGTTGACTCATTCTTCCCTACGCCAAGGCCATATATTTACTGTATAGTTTTGTTAAAGTAGATGAGACTGTTTCAGAATCCAGGCAGTGCTAACGTAAATGCTTGCTCGTCCGGGCTGGGCAGAATGAAGGAAGTTCATGCTCTGCACAAGTAAAGCAATCTGTCATGTCAGGTTGCCAAAAGGTTGCATCATCTCTAAACCTTCCGGAAGGCTGAATGGATGAGAGGTCATCTATGTTTATTTTGTGAAGTTTGGCCTACCAGGAAATGTGTGGGTACAAGAGATATTTTCGGCCCATGAGACTCTCACTTTAGAAGCTTAATCCAGCAACATGTACTATAAGCTTCAGCCTCTACATTTTTGAAAAGAGTGGCAAGTTGTGAAGTTTGCAAGGTTTTTTGGCTGCACTGACAGAGCCACGTATAAAACCCTGTTGCCAAACAGAGACTAGAACCAGATGACAAAGACTGAAAACACACGCCATGTACTGACTTTGTCTATAAAATGCTCGTTACAACTTACTCCAGCAATATTCATTTCTAAGAGAATTGCAAATCACTTACCAATCCATATTAATTAAGATCATACACTGACCTTGAAAGATTTTTAAACAGAATTTTTCATGTTGGGCTTCTTTAAGAATCTAATGGAATTACTTCAACAAGAAAATGTGTTTTAAGGAGGTGATTTTTTGCATACAGTTTAACAAATGTGATACTTAATGGCCCACCAGAAACCCTTTCAAGCCTCCTCGTGCGCAGATAGTTATTGATGATCTTCATACCCTTCATAATTCAGAAGATAACAATATCCTTTCCCTAAAAGAAACTGTTTTTCTCTATTTTTAATGTGGTTGGAGGGGGGCACGTGCTGCCAAAGAAAATATTACACATGTAACCCCAACACATACATGCACACACACCTTCCTGCCTCCATCACAAAAACGAAACATGAGAGAAACCCAGAAATAGGTGATAATGATACTAACACAGAAGAAAACAATGTCAAAAGATGGAAGCAGACCCCAGTTCTATCCCTGGAATGCACAGGAGTGAGTCAATATATCACTTCTATTGTTGAAGTTATGTGAGTCAAGTTACTTGCAACCAAAAGGATCCTAACACCAAAACCCAAGAACTTCACTTCCTGTAGACAGTACTCCTCATTGTCCTACTCGGGGGAGGGGCTGGGTGGTCTGGAATAGTGCAGTGAGGGGTGCTGTCTGTGTGACTGTCACCCTCTGGAGCACAACATTTAGATAAGCTACACGTGAGTGGTATGCCCTACAGTGGTGCCATGTGACACATGGACATATGGAGGGAATCATATACTCTCCCTTCCATGCCCACCAGCACCACCAACCTCTCCACATACCTAGCTGCCTGGGCGGGGGGAAAACCAGCTTCCTCTGCAACTTTCTAACACTGCCATTCCTGCCACCACTACTCCCACCTGTCATGAACTATCTTCCGCTCTTGTCCTTTCCTGGATCCTCACAGTGCAAGGGACACCTTCCACACGGAGAGTCTTTTAGGTCAACCCCCAGATAGAAC